CTAACTCAGCTTAGAGGGAACACTGCTGCCAACTAGTGCAAGCGAAGTGTTTATTCTTCTCCCAGGGTTACCAATAGGCCTATCATTTTAATAGAGATTTAATGCACAGACATGGGCAATAGAATCTTCTCATGGCATGGAGATAAATAGTTGCCAAGCTCCTTTCAGGTTTCTGAACCTTGCTGGTGACCACTAGAGCCTTTTTAAAACGAAGACCTCATCATGACCCAATTGCTTTCCAATCACTTGGACAGACTACGCATGAGATCCAAATACCACTGCGTGCCACCACACTAAGCAGTTTACTTTCATCTTAAGCAACTAGAAAAAAAGTAAAATTCTTACCCTGCTTAAGGAACCTGTATATCTTATGACTCAAATATCCATTAAATGACTTTTTCCTCAGCTCTTCCCCCTCCCTCCCTCGTCCAAGTGTTTGGTCATTTCTGGCTTTCTCTCCAGAGTCCAGACCGCCAGGGCACAGTGGGGATTGGCAGATCCTGGAAAAGGAGACAGACTTGATTCTGGCCATCACACTGTGCAACCCCATCCAGGATATGCATTCTCAGATTGGTTTTACCATCGATCAATAGAACTTCTGTTGAGTCTAGATTAAGTCTGAAGTTATTCACCCTCAGCCAGACCTTTACCACCTTACTAGAATTACACAGAAAGAAGAGATTGAGCTGGATATTATCAGCATAGATGACATTTAATTCTTTTTATTCAGAAGATTCCTCCCAGTATTTTCATCTAGAAGTTAAATACCAGAGTAGACAAAACAGAACTTTGCAAAACCCTATAGGCCAAAGCAGAAACGAGCAAAGCAAATGCAAAACTGCTCCTCCCAAATCCATCCTACCCAGGCAGTACAGAAGGATACCATTGTTGAAAAGCTGCTAAGAGGTCCAAGAGAGTCAACAGAGATGCTCTTTCCTGATCAGCTGGCTCCTACAGATCAAACAGGGTGACCACAACAGTTTCCATGCAGTATCCAGGCCAGAAACTAGATTGAACAGGTTCTAGATAATTGATATCCAAAAATGTTGTTGTTCAGTCACACAGTCAAGTCTGACTCTTCATGACCCCATGGACCATATCATGCCAAACCCTCCTGTCTTCTGCCATCCTCAGAGTTTGCTTAATTTCATGTTCATTGCATTGATAACACTGTCCAAAAATACTTGGGAGTATTTGCAAGGTTTGACCATGCCTAGCGTACACAGCCCCAGAAAATGAGATCAGTCATGCAAACAGGACCCATGCTTGTACAGAATTAGAAAGCTTGTCCAAAGGCACTAAAGATTCCATAGTTGGCAGAAAATAAAAATATTGCACACAGAAATACCAATCAAGATACTCCTGTTCCGCAGGAACAGGTTTAAAATTAGAACATGTGTACTGAGACTTCACATATTAATGGATGATTATATGCAGAGACAGACAGGAAAAACTGTAGTTTTATTTATCTTTTGATAACTCCTTCTTTTGTTGTTACTTGCAGGTTACTTCCCCAGCTGAGTGACCTGAAGTAGTCTTCTCTGAAGTGCAAGCAGAGTGTTCCCACATTACATTTTCCCCATCTTTCCTTCAAGGAATTCAAGGAAGTTATACATGGGTCTCCGATTTTCAATTTTATATTCACAACAACCCTTTGAGGTATGTTAGGGTAGAAAGAGTGATTGGCCCAACGTCACCTTGTGAGTTTCATGACCGTAGAGGTTTGAACTAATCTCCTGAGTCCTAGCCTGAAGGGGACTAATCAATACACATTATCTCTTGGCATCGAGGTCTCAGTGGTTACAATGGTTAGAGTGCTCTTCAACCTCGTTTACAGAGCCTGCCGATCAAGTTTTGCAGTCCTTGAATAACCATGATTCAGGCACTGCTCCTGGCTCAACAAATTACAGCAGTCCTTTTCCACATCAATCTGAATCGTACCCCCCCCCCCCCCCCCATATCCTCCCCTTTTACCTATGTTACTCCATAAAATGTCACATACATTGCTGGGTGTTACGGGCAAACGGGTTAGATCTAACGTTCCCCGGCTCCACCTGGTAGCTCTTATCCTGGTGGTAAGTAATCCTACCAGAGTCTGCCCTAGTTTACCATACACAAAGGAAATGCTTAAGATATTTTTAAAAATCTTGAACAGCCTTTTAAGGCTTGAGTTTTATGAACTTTACAGACCAGCAGTTAAGAACATACAGAGGACAGAGAACTTGGAGACCCCACGTCCCTCAGTGGTTTCCTGGACTTATTTATTCAGACTTCGGGCCTGTAAATGTATTGCATGTGAGCCACCTTTCTCAACTACTAATGTTTAAAGCTTTATGTCTATATGATCAACTGAGCAAATTCTCATTCTGTTCCTAAAAAATTATCACCCTTGTGACTTGCTAAATCAGGCTTGAAATGTCACTTTTGCTCATGATAAATGTCACTGGAAGTGTACGAAACACTGCACGGAATTTAAAAGTCTTAATCTGCAAAAAGAAAAGAAAGTCAGCAGCAAGCATACAAATGTTTGAAGCAGGACTTGGGGGAGCATACAGGGAAGAGAAAGGCAAATACTTTACTGCTGGTTTAAGAATCTACAAGCCAGTCTGATGCATTTCTAATCTCTCTGCATAAACAGCTGTCTGGAAAAAAGAGAATCAATATTGTGTCTCCCACTTGCACTACAGCTACATCATCGAATCAATAGAGGCTGACTTTTCCACTGTATTTAAATGTAAACATAAAGTATGAGAGCACTGCTTGTTGCCAGTGCTGGTTGCATAGTTATGTGAGGTGGCAAAGGGAACACTAAGAAAGAACTGAAGACAGAGCATATTCTGTTCCCAGTGAATCATGGGAACTGTAGTTTTGCAAAAGGCAGCTAAGAAACAAAAGACAAACGGTGCAAAATTACAACCCTAGAACTCCCTGATGTTTGTAGTATAGCTGTTTATAGTCCATCATTAGCCTTGGAACCCATCAGCATCCATGAAGGCAGAGGGACCTGGTACACACAAGAACCTTTTAAGGCAGCCATGCAAAACCAGGCTTACCAGTGACCTAGGCCAGGATGCTGGGGGGCAGGGAACAGAGAGATGGGGATTATGGAGCTATACAACTAAAAATACAACTAAAAATAAGATCCTGCTTCCTAGCTATATAAATATGAACCTGGGGTACCGTGAGTACACAGTTCATATTCTCACTGAGTAGCAAAATAATATGTGGTGTTCTTATTGGTGTGGACAGAACATAATTGGCCTATTTTCACTTCCATTATTTCCTGTTTGGGGTGGGGAAGGTTTTTTGATCACCATGAGAAAGCATGAAGTAACAATATGGATTCCGAGATAACGCAGTAGGGGTTGGGGAGGTATGCAGATCCCACTACTTGAAAGTAAGTCCCACTATGTTAGATGGAGTTTATTCCCAAGTATGCATTGAAGTGCAACTTTAAAGCTCTCTGTGCATGTGGTACCCCAGGGCCATATTCACTGTTTTTATGGATTGGGAGTTTGCCACACAGAAAATTCAAATAGCTAGAAAGCATGATCTCCACTCTTCAGTGCTGTTTTTCACTACCAAATATGTTTTAAAGCACAAGTAGGTAAATGCGCAGCAGTATGAAATCCTCAAGCTGCTTTCTGCAGCTCATCAAGTTCCACAACTTTTAATTAACAGGCTTTGGAAATGAGCAAATGTAATTAAGTTATTTCAGCTACATAAAATGCAACATTTCTACAGACCTCTCATTGTGCCTTTTCAGCAGTTAACAAGGTATGCATCGTTGTTTTAATCCATTCTGCAGTCCACTGAAGTTTACAGGGTACATAATGCCTGTACTTGATTGGTTTGACGGAAATCTAGACCATAGCTCTCAGGGTAAAACTTATGGCAAAAGGACAAGGTTTGTAATGTATCCTAATTAGAAATTTTAAGATAACACCTGCTCCCTCCCTTTTTGTATTCTATTCAAATAATTAATACTGTCTACATTTGTGTAAAAAGCTAAGGGACTATTTAATCATAGATATACATGCAGGCCTGGTAACTTCTGCTATTCCAGAGAAACATAATGCAAACCCAGAATTCATTTTTTTAAAAATAAGCTTCATGATTGCAAAAGATAAACCCAAATGAAATCCCAGAAGCACAGTAAGATTGTCAATGGTTATAGAAAGTCTTCAGTTCCCTTCTGGTATTTCTTCTTGACTAGCAGGTGCAAAACAAACACATTTGCTGAATTAATATTTCTCACAGAATCTGGATTTTCTTGGTTTACTAGGTTATGTTTTTTTAATGGAAACATATAGATGAAACGTATGCAGTAGCCTGTGATTAGGAAGAAAAAAAGGGGGTGACCATTATATTGGCAAACAGAAATAGTGTGCCTGGAGCTGGAAATTCAAACTTTACTTTTTTGGCAAGTTCTGAGTTCCAATGCAGATTCATACTGGATATATGTTCCTGGCAGTTTTCGATTCAATTTAAAAGAGACTTCATCAAACATTAGTTGCAGAATTAGGTAACTGTCAAATATAGGGCACTTTCAAGCACCCTAAATAATGCACTCTCAATCCACTTTCAATGCACGTTGCAACTGGATTTTACTGTGTGAAATGGCAAAATCCACTTGCAAATGGTCGCTGAAGTAGATTGAAACTGCATTATTTAGCATGTGTGAAAGTGCACATAATTGTTGTTGTTCTTATACCACAAAGAAAGCAAACACCAAAACACAAGTTACACTGTTTTCAGAAAGATTAAACATCTGCCCATCTAGAAGCTCACGGATCACACTGCCATATGAAATCCCAACAATCTGAAACAAACCTTACTTTACCACCACAGCTAGCTTTAAGCACGAATAACCGTCCTTTACTCAACCCGGTGTAACGATGATCTTTGCTTAACCAAACCATCCAATTATATCATGGCATGTCTGAGTTCAGAGCCAGGTCCATTTCATACCATCTGGTCATCCATGAGTGTGGGTTGTTGTTTTTTTTGGGGGGGGGGGGATGTTGCAGAGAATATTCAAAGCAGACTGCAGATAGGCAGTGGGAGGGCCAGTCAAGACAAAGCATTGCGCACAACAACCCCCCCTCCCCTGTTTCCAATTCAAAGTAGAACCTCTTGGTCAGAATCCTGTCTCACTCCTCAGTTCTTTGTTGAGCCAGTTCAAGGTGTTGCCCACCAAATTCACATCTTCTTCATCCTTTTTTTGCTGCGCTGGTTGAAGACTGGCGAGGATCCCATTAAGCTATCTGGAGAATGAGAGGCATAACTGCTCTCGGAGCCATTTGGGCTCTGGGGCATGCCGGCCTCGCTCATGCCTGACATGGGCTCCTCAAACACGTCACTGCCCAGGACTCCATGGTGCCCATGGACGTTGCCCTCCTCACTCTCCTGCGGTTCCATTTTTACAGGAGCCAAGTTCCACAGAGGCGAAGTGTTCACTTCACCACCTGGAAAGGATAGAAAGAGAGAAAGCTTGTTAGTCATGAAAAGAACATAAATGTGGCTGAGGGGGGGGGAACAGTGTGACTAGTTTAAACAAAGGAATATGTGAAATACAGAAACAGTATAGAAGACCTTTTTACGTTCTCATTATCTCTCACATAGTCATTGTGCAGAAGCTTTTAGAAGTCTGAATGAATTCCTTAATCAGCAAAACAAGTTAAAAGAGAATGGGGAACCACAGAGATCCAATACTGAATAAAAGGAAGCATATGAAAAAGAGGGGAAAGTCTTCAAAGCAACGTTATGATTGCTCCGCTTCTTTCTTGTCGTTTCACACACTGTCTAAAAGTACCCAGTGGGACACTATTCAGCAACTTGGTTGCCAGCATACGCAGCCCACTGCAAAGAAGAGAAGGATTTGGAAGGAAAAACAGAACCTCTGCATTCTTAATTAGAAAACAATAATCCATTAACAGAAAAGCACCAATAATGCCAGCACATTAACCTCTCAGTCTCACACAATAAACACTAATACCAGAACTTCAAGATGAATCATTTGGGTTCCCAAATAATCTAGGAATAGTACACTGCATCCTCCCCACCCTCAAGTACGGGCATGTTTCAGAGGTACTGTAGGGGGGAAAAGCAGAGTTCCAGCAAAGGGTCAAACAGGTTTGTGTTTTCAGTGCTTCAAATTTGAGATTTAGGCTCCCATCAATATAAAAGAGCTCAGATTAAGGTTAATAGAAAGATCTTCAGGTTGTTGGGGGGAGTTGTTTTGCTTTTTTTAACTGCAACATACAGTAATAAGTGATTACAGCTCTGCAAATGGTTTAAAAAAAAAAAACCACAGAAACAGTGCCTCTTGGGAAACGAGAATGTCTTAAGAACCTTTTCCCAAGAAGACAGAGACCATGAAAGCAGCAGACTTGAAAGCCCTATTGACTGAAACATTTGATGAAAAGATGGAAACTGTTCCAGTTCCAACATGTTTCGTCCCACGCTCCCTATTATGCTTCAGTTAGAATGGAGAGCTTCTGGGTGCAGGAAGCATTACAGCTCTAGTCCTTGAGTGATCTGATTGAAACAGACAAGTATACTGGTTCCAATACAGATGACAAAACAGGAAACTGAGGACAACTGCCTTGTTAATGTAACCAACTGAACACTTTCTGTATGATACTAAGCAACTCTTTCTGCTGCTCTGAACTACAAAAGCCCTGTACGCATAACCCCTCCATGTGCTGACTTAACAAGCAGGGGAAGCATCCATGTGTTTGCTTCCACCTTGTGATCAGCAACATTTGGAAAGCAGTACTCCATATCGCCGGGAAGGACTGTACATGTGGACCCTTCCTCCATGCACACACACCATGCAGATGACTCAGAGATTAAACAGAGATGGGACCAACACACTCATGCCCTCTCTCCTCTCCCCATGCACTCAGTCAACCTGCAGAAGGTCATGCCCTCTCTCCAGTTTGTACTTTAACCTATCCTCTTAGAAGAAATAAAAAACTCAAGTGTCCAGCTATTTTCAGGCAGTCACATTCAAAAGATGAAGGACAGCTAGCCTTTTCAACTCCCATACCATTATAGGGGAGCTGCGGTGGCTCAAGTGGTTAAGATGCTGAACTGCAGGCTGTGGAAGGTCAGTAGTTCAGCAGTTCGAGACCCGAGTGTGCCACATGATGGAGTGAGCTCCCATCTCTAGTTCCAGCTCCTGCCAACCGAGCAGTTCGAAAGCAAGAAATTGCAAGTAGATAAATAGGTACCACTTCGGTGGGAAGGTAACAGCGTTCCGTGCTCCTTGGTGTTTAGTCATGCCGACCACATGACCACGGAAACGTCTTCAGACAGCGCTGGCTCTTCGGCTTTGAAACGGAGATGAGCACCGCAACCCTAGAGTCGGACTCGACTGGCTTTCGAGCAAGGGAACCTTTACCTTTTTACCATTATAGGACTGAACGCCACATAGGAAAGACCATACTGTTTATAGACTGGCAGATGTTAACATATAACTAATGGACATTTGTCACAATATGGGTCTGTGGGCCCATGTGGGTTTGCCACAGGCAGGACATCCCTTCCAGGGGTCTCTCTCTTCCCACACACACCCTCCTTTCCCCCCCTGCTCCCTTCAGAGCTGAAGCAGACAAGGGCCTTAACGGACTGCCACCACTCTGGTTCAGGTCTTTACTAGAAAGGCCCAGAGTGCCCTTCCTGCCCCGAGGCAACCCCCTTTTTAGTCCGGGCATGTCCTGATGTATGGCCAAATTTGAGGTATGAAGAATCCAGGCAGAGTAAAGAAGAAACACCTTATTAAACAAATACAATAACAAGTAAATAGGAGAGAGGTTATGCAAAAGGGGCAGATTTAATACAGGGCAAAACTCACAAAGAAAGAAGCCAGCCAGAAATCAACAAAGCTCCCTGACGTTGGCTGTCTCACTTAGTCCCTACTCGAGCAGCAGCGGGAAGTGCCAGCTAGGGGCCAGGAGTTCCCCGTCCCCAGCAGGGGCTTGGCAACCCCACTTAGGCCCAAGATCATGAATGACAACATGGTGTGCTTAGTTTTGATAGGCCAGATGCAAGTCCAGCAGCACGTCAGAGACCAACAAGATTTTCAGGGCATGCGCTTTCAAGAGTCAAAAGCTCCCTTCATCTGCTGTTCTACTGCAGACCAACATGGCTATCCTCTGAAAATTACTCTGATATATTAGAGGTTATTACTTGCAACAACACTGGCATAAACAAAACCTATCACACCACTGAAACTAAACAGACATCCTGGGAGGGAGCTTGCAAAGAATCAAGGGATGGGAGATCTGATCATTTCACCAGCAGAAGATAGGGGGAGGTGGGAACTTACAGGGGGGACACAACTGTCAGCCCCCGTGATAACACAGCTTCTGGTGTGACCCAGAAGCAATGGTGTTGGCCCTGATGCAACACCGTCTTTTCTGGATCATGCCAAAGTTGTGTCATCACACGGAGATAACATCCCCCCATCACTACCCTGTTTGGCCAGCCAGTTTCTGCCTGCTGACCAGGTAAGGCATCAGCAGGCAATGGTGAAGATTACCTGGAAGTAATAAGCGGGCAAATGGCAACCCACTCACCCCAGATCCCAAAAACTCCCCGCCTGGGCTTCTGTACACTCTCACAGGGACTTGAACTGGCTGAATGCCTCCCCCACCTCCCTTCTCCTTTTGGTTAATTTACAAAATCATTCCAGGTAAGGTAGAAACCCATACCTTGTCTGTGGGTGGCCCATTCATCAACTGATAAATAAATAACAATAATATTTCAATGTATTGATCCCTCAATCCTTGCAGAGCTGCCGGCTCTAAGCGATTTACAGTTACTCATGTGTAGACACGGGACTAACAATGATGGGGGTAAGGGAGGACAACATATATAATTTTTAAATCACACACACTTTGTAGACAGGGAGTTAAGGGAGGGGGTAAGGGAGGACAACATATATCATTTTTAAATCACACACACTTCGTAGTCGACAGGGAGTTTGGTCAGCTGTAAGAATCAGACGCGTCCCAGAGGCATTCTTTAGTCGGCATCGCTTGAGGTCGTCAGCATTTTCTCAGTCGCAGCGCACCACTGCCACCGTCTGGCCGGAATGGCCCATTGCAGGCTTTTCTTTGAAGCTGGGTAGATCTCTCTCCGCTTTTGAGCTTACGCACGGACCTTCCGTTTGTCGGCTAACACTTTCCCACTGGGGGGGGTTAAGTGTTATTTGCTTCACTACTGGAGAAAGTGACAGACTGGGGGGCAGACCAATATGTAAATCATACTGCTCTCCCCCAGATCCCTCCCAGAATCTATGGACCGTAAGGGGCTTGAGCAGGCTGACTCCCCCTCCCCACTTTTTCCCTTTTTGGAGCATTTTTAATTCTCATCATTTCATTAAGTTACCAATTATATTCTTCAGCATAGCCAGGGAGTCCCCCTACAATGTCTGTGGGTGGCACCATTGTACTGGTCTCATCATCCACACAGGGGCCATCCACTTCACTGCGACAGTAATTTCACGACACCAAAACCTGAAAAGCTATAAATAGTATGCCCTTTTGCTTCATAGCCTTTCTTTAAATCTATCCATTGCTAGCTAATTATTATATTTTAAAGGATAGCTGCAAGTTTCAGGAGCACAAATCACCCATGTTAGCAGGAATTCCTCAATAAATAACCTTTTCCCACCCAGATGTTCAACTTCAGGAGTTGCTAATTTTTCTTCTCTAACACCCCAACATCATCTCATATTAACAAAAAAATATTCCCAAAGCTTCAGTAGATAATAGAAATTGTGACAAATGGTAAATTGTTAATGATTATCATCGAAGTACTTCTGAGCCCCCAGAACTCTCACTTGGGCATGGCCTTTAACTTCAGGCAAGAAAGCCATGGCATGGAGGACTTTCCAGTGAGGGGAGGTGGTGAGCTTCCCTCACTGGCAGTCCTCAAGCAGCAGCAGCTGGACAAACACTTTTCAGGGATGCTTTAGGCTGATCCTGCATTGAGCGGGGGGGGGGGTTGGACTAGTGGCCTGTATGGCCCCTTCCAACTCTATGATTCTGTGATCTACAACAACAACAACAGAGTGAGGTAGGTTAGAGAGGCACTGGCCCAAGGCCACCTAGTGAGCTTCATGGCAGAGTGGGCACTTGAACCCAGCCCAACAGTCTAGCCACCAACACCCCACTGGCTCTCACAGGAATTCTGGTTTCCTCCTGCAACTCAAGGTGCCTGCCAGCCCAAGGGAATACGTACCTGAAGCTTGCGGAGAGGCTTCTGCTTCCAGGTTGGCCGAAAAACGCTCACTCTGAGCTCCGAGCACCCCCACAGGCAAAGACTGGTCCCCTGATGCTAGGTCCCCCTCTAGCTCCTCGCTCATGGGAAATGTGATGTCACTGACTGGCTCCTCTTTGATCTTGACAGGTTTGGTGTCTTCTGCTGCCTTCTCAGGGTTGACGAGCTTTTCATATTCCTCAGAGAGCTGCTTGCTGACCTGTTGGTAACCATTTGAAGGGGAGAAAAGGGAGAGAGTGATCAGCAATTTCCACACAGAGACACAGTGGAAAGGGTGGGGGAAGCGACAAGCCATGGAAGAACAAAGATGGAACAGAAACACATTGTGTGCTTTTAAACATGAGAATAAATATGTGCATGGAACAAGAAAAATGGTCTTGCAGAAAAAGCTCTCAGCATTACAAAACTATTGCTGTGAGATAGCTGAACTAGCCATAGAGAAAATAATTACATTCTACAACAGACATATTCAGAATATTTGCTTCATTTTCCCTTTTGTCCAATGAGATTAGAGTGGCAAGCTCTTGGCTTACTCCCCATTCAGGAAGAGACTGGTTTAGCTTCAAAGATGGAAATTCCTATAGGGTTGCTGACTGACCAGAAGGGAGTGACCATGACACAGCTGTTTGCGGGCAAAGGCTCCAGGTTCAATCTTTGTCATGTTTGGTGAAAGGACAGCAGGCAGTAGCCACTGCCAGACGAGATGAGCCAGACAGAGCAAGGGTCTGACTCTGTATAAGGCACATTCAAGGCATTCTGAGGATTAGTGTTTTCCATAGCGTGGGGCTGGCTTTTTACAATTCGTGAATAAAAAGTCTTTGCTTTTCTTCCCTACCTAGTCATCTTCTCATTTACTTAACTTCCTTCTAGACCATTCTGTAAACATACTCTATGGGTTGGCATCATTTGGAAACAGAAGAGTGATCACCGCAAAAGACAACTGGAGAGAATGGTCTCAGAAGGAAGGGACAGAAACTACTTTACTCATCTACCTCAAAGCAAGCAAGGAGTGCAGTGTAGGGGTTAAAGCATCCGACTAGGACCCAAACATGCCCAATAAGCAGGTAGAAAGCAGTGCCCACAAATGTGAACAGCCTTCACCCACAAACTCACTTAGCTGATTTAAATTAACTGTAAAAGAAAGTCTACATTTACCATTTACCATACATCTACCATTTACCATAACCACTATGGCAATCAGCTCACATCTGAGCATCCTTCTTTTCTCACCTGTAGCATATAGCTATGATAATCTTTAATGCGGTGTTGCCAGAACTTCTGCAGGGAAAGCACGCTGCCAATGCCCACTTCGTGGAACACCTGCTCCATGACATCTGGGAAGGGTATCTGCCCAAGCCGAGCTTCCCGGTCCACAGCAAAACGCAAAAGCTTGGCGAACTTCAGGCAGTACTCATGAGCAATGTCTGTCAGTGTCTCCAAGACACTCTCGTTGGCACACTCAAAACCTGCATGGGCCAAAATAGTGGCTATGGACTGGTAGAGAAGTTGACGGCAAGAGGTCCAGCTTAACTCCGTTACTGGCTCTCCTTTGCCTCTGTAAGCAAAAAGACAGCACACAAAGACATTAAGTAAAAACTGAAGATGCTTCTGACTTCAACAAACATTTCAGGCATGCCTAATAGCCTAGCTAATTAGAGATAACTACCCAGACACTTCCTGCAAGGTTCAATTTTTTAAAAAGTAAGAAAACACAGCAAAGATAGTGCAAATTTTTTCAGAGTTCAAAATAAAGGGTTTGCTTTAAGGTACCTTGCACAGCAGCTGCAACTTAACCTCAAGCCACTACACTCTGACCAGATTTCAACATCAGACTGGCAAGGTAAAGAGGTTCCCATGCAACTTTGCAGGGACTCAGCACCTCATGTAAAGCAGCTACATTTGGCTGAATGAGAACACCTGCACAATATCTGCAACAGTCAGCAGAATGGTTAGAAACTGCATTCTACTGAAGGTTCAACACAGTAGCAGGTCGCTCCCAAGTTAAGCACTAAAATTAAATTCTGTAAGTGTGTTCATTATTATTATTACTAGGGAGCAAAGCCCATTGTGGACGAAGACAATGGGCCCTAGAAAGGTAGGGTGGGTGGGTGGTAGATAGGTAGATGGATAGAGGGGTTTGGAGAAAGAGAGGAAGGAAGGAAGGAAGGAAGGAAGGAAGGAAGGAAGGAAGGAAGGAAGGAAGGAAG